GATTTTGTTACAGTTTCAGCTTCACACATCATTTACAATAATTACGTCTCTACTCAAATACACATCTTATCTTATAAAATATAGAAAAGGAGGTTTTTGATCACTTGTAGGGTCTCATGTTCTCAAGATAAGTAAAAGTCAAAATAGAAAATGCTGGATGCTGGTATTAAAAACAATAAAATTGCAAAAATTATATAACAGCGCTGAGTGCCAAAAAAATCCAGACAAATTGTGAACCATAAAATAAACAGGGAAACAATAGCTGAACTCCAAAAATACCAATACAAATACTCAATACTTGCTATCCAGTTATTGTTGCTCTATTGATAAAAAATATACTAATAGTGAGTCACTTATACTTTAACTGCTTCGCCACCGCCTTATAGCAGAACCACTGCTACAGGGTGGCACGGCTGTGCAAAATCACATAAATATATGTGATTTTGCCTTTCCGGGTAGGGGGTGCGTGCACATCACTTGCGCGCCCTACCCGCACTGCCATTGGCGACTTCAGCTGTTGATCACTGGGACCCGGTCGGTAATTCCTCGCCGACACCCAATGAACACCCAGTGTCACTGACAGTGGAGAGGTCTGAATATAAACAATACAGATGTCTCCTCTGTCAGCTCCTGTATAGCAGAGCAATACAAAGCAATGTGTTGACACAGAACAACACATACTGTACATACACAATAATATATGTGAATTTTACGGTATCCCTTAAATCATTCAATACAATAAGGCTATAAATAGCATAAAGATACACTTTCCCCCAAAAAGTGTAAAAAAACTGTGAATATGAATATGCTAATACCAATATTCCATTTATGTCATCCATTATGATTAAGTCAGGTGATGAAAACATGTCAAGGGAAGTGATGTCAGACACACAGAGGAACCGGAAGTGATCCAGTGGCCATTTTAGAATCTGGCAAAACCTCATAGAAGTTCGCGTGGAGAAATCAGGGAACTCTGAGAGGTTTGGATATTCTGATGAAGGCTATTGTAAAGAGGAATCATGATGTAAGCATATTCAATAAAGTATTTTAAATTGTATATGCGGGTTTACACTATGATTTATTCTATATATGGTGGGCATCGGTGGATTGGTGGAGATTGATGGTTATACTTGAAAGCTGCTATATCTGCATGACATCTTGATCTGATCCATGAGGCTGTGATGATCCTTTGGTTGAAGCAGAATTTGTGTTAATACCCTTATATGCTTTTGGGAATATTGGTATTAGCATATTCATATTCACATACATACACAATAGTAAAACAGCACACAGCAAAGAGTTAACCCTTTGATTGCCCCAGATGTTAACCCCTTCCTGCCCAGTGTCATTAGTAGTACAGTGTCTGTGTTTTTTATTAGCACTGATTACTATATTAGTGTCACTGGCTATGTCAGTGACAGTCAGTCCCCCTCTCCCCCCCATTGTCAGAACGCAGTCCCTTCATCACTGATCGCCACCATTACTAGTATAAAAGTAAAATTCCAGTATATATACCGCCATTTGTAGACAGTATAACTTTCACGTAAACCAATTAATTTACATGTATTTTTTTTTAGCAAAGGCATGTAGCAGAATATACTTTGGCCTAAATTTAAGTTTTTACGTTTTTTTTTCACTGGACATGTTTAACCGCCTCCCGCCCGCCATATAAAGAAATGACGGGAGCAAGGCAGTTTCTCTTGTTCTGGGAGGATGTCATATAACGTCCTCCCACTCTAACCGCACGTGCGAGCCCCCTGGGGTGTGCAGAGCGGCGATCGGTGGTGCGCCGTGTCCCTGGGACACAGCAGATCACCAATCAGCAGAAAGAGCTGAAGATGTCGGCTCTGTCATGTGATCAGCTGTGTCCAATCACAGCTGATTGCATGTAAAAAAAAGGAAATGCCGGTTATCGTCATTTCTTTCCTCACGAGCTGTCACGCTGACAGCTCATAAGGAGAGGAGAGCCAGTAATCGGCATTACTCAGAGGGGACATGTACACTGATCATCAGGGCACTGATGATCAGTGTGCCCTGCTGATCAGTGTAGCCCAGCAGTGCTACCTGTCATTGCCCATCAATGCCACCTGCCAGTGCCCATCAGTGCCACATCAATGTTACATATCAGTGCCTACCAGTGCACATCAATTCCACATAGCAGTGCCCATCTGAGCTGCCTTTCAGTGTCACCTATCAATGCCAGTCATTGCTGCCTATCAGTGCTGCCAATCAGTGCCAGTAAGTGGTGCCTATTAGTGCGCATCAGTGCCACCTATCAGTGCCACCTATCAGTGCTATATATGAGTGCTGACTTTCAGTGCCCATCAGTGATGCCTGTCAATGCCCATCAATGCCACCTACCAGTGGATCCTCATCAGTGCAGCCTATCAGTGCCCATCACTGCAGCCTCATTAGCGCATAGTGGTGCACCCATGCACCTGGCTTTAAGATTTATACTATCAAATCAAGATAGATAAAAATCTCACCGTTAAAGTGTAAGTGCATGTCCCGTTTATTATATCCTTGACATCCATTGAGATGAAAACGTATGTCGGGGCTGGGCGGAGATTATCCTTTTTGACTGAGCACACAGAGGATCACAATAAGGGAGGCAGAGAGGAGGAGAGATACCAAAATCTGTGACACCTCTTTTCCATTTAGGATGTTACAAGCAAGATATGTTCAGCATCATGATCTGTTAGACCACCTATAAACTGGTGTCTAACTATTTGGTAAGAAGCAGTGTGTTTTTTGTGGTGGTGTGCATGAAATGCTCTATTTCACTACACCACACTTGGAGAATTATTGTGGACACAGCTTTTCCTCATAATTGGGATTTTGTCATCAAAATACTTTTTCATTGTATGGTGTTTCATGCATTTTGACTTAATAATATTATTGGTAGGAGCACATTTAAAGTATAAGTGACTCACTATTAGCATATTTTTTATCAATAGTGCAACATTAACTGGATATCAACAATAAAATTGCACTAAAGATTAGATCATCTATTTAATATTTTGAGTCTAATTAGAGTGAAGAAACTAGTTTGGGGTTTTGTAAAAACTTTCAGACCAGTCTGCTTTACAAAATGTTCTTATGGTTGGCTCTCCCACTTGTCTGTAACAATGGTTGTACTTGAAAGCTAAACTGATCACTATGCAGAATTATTCACTTAGGGGAGTACACATGCACACTCCTCTCCCCCCACATTAGAATCTCCTCTTGCCAGCACAATGACTGCTTATGCCTATAAACTCCTTTCAAGCACACACCCACCAATCAATTCCTATAAGAATTCAAGACCTACAGCTTCTCCAAGCAACAAATATGAGCTTACTACAAGCAAACTGGACAGCTTAGTACACTTTTTACCCTGCTACACTGTTAACTGAGCAGTTCCCGCCCATCTGTCACCAGTCTCCTCCCACCTGTCATCAGTATGTTCCCATCTGTCAACTGCCTTTTCGTGTGTGCATTCCTCCCTGCTTCTTTCCAACAAGATGCAGCACAATGACAAGCAACAACAGATGTTGTAGTTATCAGTGACTATACTGAAGGAGGTGGTGCTGGAAAAGTTGAATAGAAAATAAGTTGCCTGTGAATCCTGGCTAGAGCCACCAGGGTGGAATTAGCACACTTACTAGCTACTGCTCATGCTATCCAGAAATAACGAACACAGAAGTTTTATCATAATTATCATTCACAGGTTTAGGAAAATAGTCTCTTGAATTTTTTTGTCCCTAGAAATGCCACTAATACAAAACAATGGTTAACTTTACAATTAGATTAACATTTTTAATAGTGAGATCTGCAGATTGCTCCTTGCAGTTCTCCATGTGGGTTGTTGATACCTGAATTAAAATTACTGCAGCAGCTGTTCCTGAAAACTATTGAAAGTCTCTGCTAACTAAAGTGGTAGTTTGTTATGCAGAGTACACCTGCCATGTTATAAAAAATAATAATAATAATAATTCTGATTTATGAAAAACATTCCTATTTTTCAAGGTGCAGAGAATAACTCAATTAGTTGTGTCTTTACAAATTATCTTAGCTTCTAAGCATGCATATTCACAGGCAAAACATCAAAAAAGTGATTTGCACATCCACCTGGCAGCACTAGGATCATTGGTTTAAATGTCAAACATTGCACTACCTTCCTGGAGCTTGCATGTACACCCTGTGCCTGGGTGACTTTCCTCCTGGTACTACAGTATACTCTAATACTCCAAAAATATGCTGGTAGGTAAATTGGCCCTAGTATGTGTATGCATAATTATGAGGTACCTTATACTGTAAGCTCCAGGGATGGGACTAATGTGAATGTACAATAATGTACACTATATTGCCAAAAGTATTGGGATGCCTGCCCTTATACACTCATGAACTTTATTGGCATCCCAGTCTTAGCCCGTAGGGTTCAATATTGAGTTGGCCCACCCTTTGCAGATGTAGCAGCGTCAACTCTTCTGGGAAGGCTGTCCACAAACATTTAGGAGCCAGTCTATGGGAATGTATGACCATTCTTCCAGAAGTGCATTTGTCAGGTCAGACAATGATGTCGGACGAGAAGGAATGGCTCGCAGTCTCCACTCTAATTCATCCCAAAGGTGTTCTATCAGGTTGAGGTCGGGAGTTCTTCCACCCCAAACTCGCTAATCCATATCTTTAAGGACCTTGCTTTGTGTACTGGTGCGCAGTCATGTTGGAACAGGAAAGGACCATCCCCAAACTGTTCCCACAAAGTTGGGAGTATGAAATTGTCCAAAATGTCTTGCATGCTGATGCCTTAAGAGCTCCCTTTGCTGGAGCTAAGAGACCACGCCCAACCCCTGAAAAACAACCCCACACCATAATCCCCCCCAAAAAAAACTTTACACTTGGCACAATGCAGTCAGTCAAGTACCGTCCTCAAGGCAAACGCCAAACCCAGACACGTTAATCAGATTGCCAGACAGAGAAGCATGATTCATCACTCCAGAGAACATGTCTCCACTGCTCTAGAGTTCAGTGGTGGAGTAATTTACACCACTGCATCCGATGCTTTGCTTTGCACTTGGTGATGTAAGGCTTAGATGCAGCTGCTCGGCCATGGAAACCCATTCCATGAAGCTCTCTATGCACTGTTGTACTAATCTGAAGACCACATGAAGTTTGGAGGTCTTTAGCTATTGACTCTACAGACAGTTGGTGACTTCTGCGCACTGTACTTTTCAGCATGCGCTGACCCGGATCTGTATTTTACGTGGCATATCACTTTGTGGCTGAGTTGCTGTTGTTCCCAGTTGCTTCCACTCTGTTATAATACCACTAACAGTTGACTGTGGAATATTTAGTAGCAAGCACATTTCACAGATGGACTTATTGCACAGGTGGCAACCTCTCACAGTACCACACTTGAATTCCCTGAGCTCCTGAGAGTGACCCATTCTTTCACAAATGTTTGTAGAAGCAGTCTGCATACCTAGGTGCTTGATTTTATACACCTGTGGCCATGGAGGTAATTGGAACACCTGAATTCATTGATTTGGAGGGGCGTCCCAATACTTTTGGTAATATAGTGTATATGGATAGCGCTGTGTAAATTGTTGACGCTATATACAGTAAGTACTTATAATAAATATAGACACTGTATCTTCTGAGTGACCAAGCATTTCAAAGAAAAGCATTAAATTCCATTTCTGCTTCCACCCTAAATAAAAATGACTATTGCTCCAATGAAGGTCATACTTGTCTTAAAGTACATCTGGATCATTCATCACTGCCATCTGACTTTCATTGCTGCCATCATCTGAAATTGACAGCTGAAAATCCTGTTTGTCTTTGCCATTGTGGCAGTGAATGAATCTGTTCTGTATCAACTACCACTTTATGTGCTGACCTCCATAGGTCTTGGTTTCTCAGGCATCTAAAGGAAGTGGCTTCAGGGTACCAGTAATATAGCATGAAGGAAGATAGTGGAAGTGAGAAATAAGGTAAATATTATTGCTCATTCCCCAAGGAAAATAAGCAGCTAACCCCTGCAGTGCAGATATATACAGATATAACAAAACACATTCAATGGTATTGTTAGGGTTTAAATACACTTTAACAAGGTAACGAAAGAGGTAACAAAAGGAGATAAGAGTAGCACATATTTTTAATTATATTGTTACCTAATTGCTTTTCAGATTCTTCCTTTTTTCCCTTGCCTGTAACTCTGCAATACCATAATACATGTGCTGTAAGGGTTACGGGAAGTGATTACTAGTTTATTATTTTATTTAGGTCAAGTTACATTTTGAGAGTTACGTTTTGGGGTGACATTATATAGTTGATTGGGTTAATTTTAAGGTTAAGGGTTTGCTATAGTTACTGAAGGGAATCTTTTACAGGTAAATAAAATTCATAGAATAAAATAGGTACACATATAGTCTTATGGTAAGATTGTTGTAGAAATAATTGTCAGGAAACAGTGTCTGTTTAAAGGTTAAGATTAGGCAATAGAGCATGTGGAGAAATATTTTTTTAAGTAGTTTTAGATACTGAAAATCAAAGTATTGCTCTAACCATCTGGAATATATTTTAATGTTTTTGTGCTTTTTTAAAACAAATAATCTAAACAAAAGTAGCATTGGGTTCTACTGCTAAATTACAGTGAGGGAGGGCTAGATGAAATTAAGACTTTTCTATTTTATAATACATTCTAAGTCACAATTAGATAGGGAGTTCCAATTTTCCTTGAAGCAAACATAACAAAGGAAAAAGTGATCGAGAAAATTGGAGGAGCTTTTAAACTAGAATCTGGGTGGGAGGAATGAGGAAAAAGTGTATCACACATTAATCAAGAGTCAATGTGTATACAATAGAGGTGGGTGAAATAGAGATGGAGGCAAGAACCAAGCAAAATGGCAGATAATTCATAATGCATTATTTACTCCCAATGCAGGAAGTCTTAAGAAAACAAGCTGCAATAAAAGAGCAATAATGTAATGACAGGTGCTAGTACAAAATTAATAGGCATGTTCACAAATGCTAGAAGTCTGGCAAATAAAATTAATTTAGAACTTATGTTATTCAAGGAATATTATGACTTTGTGGGAATATTAGAAACCTGCTTGTACTGCTCACAGGACTGGGCTGCAAATATTTAAGAGTACATTTTGACTGGAAGAAGACGTGGGGGTGTGTTTACAGTATATATATCAAGAACAATTTAGCTGTGAATGTGAGAAAGGACATCAACAACAAGTGTGGTGATGGAAAAGAGTCTTTATGACTTCAAATGAGGGCAATACCATCTGGTATAGAGTAAAATGATGGCCAGGCGGGACTCTCGTCAATCCAGGTGGATGTCTTATGACGTCCTCTTAGATCATCACCTCGCACATGTCCGTAGGGATGTGCTGTGGCAAGATCTGTCCATTGGACACAGCCAATGACTGATCTGTGTACCGGCCCATTGCTGGCACCATGTTACCGCTGTGACCAATCACAGCACATGGCAATTGTAAACAATGGATGGCTTCCTTTCATGCCATTCATTGTATACAATTGTGTTACTAGCTGTGATTGGTCACAGTGATCACATGGTGCAGACTGGGCCAATTCCAGCTTATCTGTGTCATGTGATTAGCTGTGGCTAATCACAACAAAACAAACTGAATGAATCAATTTCACTCAGTAAAATGCTTGTTTATGGCAATGACATTTATTGCTGGCAACTGAAAGTTACATAAAAAATGCTCCCTAGGAGGATTAATACTGGGAGAACTGGTGATGGAGAAAGATTTGGAGGTCCATGCAGACCACAGACTTAACGATAGCATGTAATGTAAGCTACTGCTAACAAAACAAGTAGTCTTGTGCATTAAAAAGTGTATTTAATCAAGGGATAAGTACTTTTGCCTCCTTTACCCAATACACTTGTTCAGTCCCATCTTGAGTATTCAGCACAGTTCTGATCCCCAAACAACAAGAAGAATGTACCTGAATTGGAAAGAGTTTAGACAAGGGCAACAAAATTAAAGCCTAAGTGTAGATAAAATTAAAAACAGAAAAATTAGCACAAGGGGCATAACTTACAGTTAGTACTATGTGTTTCTTGTGCCGATTCCTCTTCTTTTAGTTAAAAATCTCCTCCACCCTTCTAATACTTCATTGCGTTGGGAGTTAATACAATCAAGGGGCTCATCAAGACAGCCCAACTATGCCCATCCTTTCTGCCCAGCTGTGCCATGATGACTACAGTGAAGGTGACAAACTGTTTATTATGAGGTTCTTGATGAGGACATGCAGCCACGTTTTGAAGTTGTTGGAAAGGAGATTTAATCTGAAAATTCATAGGGGGTTCTTTATGGTTAGAGCTACAAAAAATGTGGAACTCATTTTCCCAGTTAGTGACATCAGCTGAGAGTATAAACAACCTTATAAAACTGTTAGACGCCTTTCTCACTGAGCAAATATAAAGGGGTATGTGTATTCTTAGAAGAGACAAAACACACACGTTCAACCTTATCTACTATGTGCTGCCCCCCGATCCCCCACTCTACCTGCCTGCAACTGACATCTACCTTCTGTTGCCCTCAGTAACCACTGATTCCATTGCTCTCCCAAACCTCCTACTATGCCTGCCTGAAACTAATATCTGCCTTCTGTTTCCCTCAGTAACCACTGATTCCATTGCTCTCCCAGACCTCCTACTCTGCCTGCCTGCAACTGACATCTGTCTTCTGTTGCCCTCAGTAACCAATGATTTCACTGCTCTCTTAATCGCTAAGCTATTTTGCATGCCTGAAATTATCTGCTTTGTTTTTTGTAACTACTGTCTATACTTGCCTATATTAAATGAACCTAGTCTCATAGTGCCTTAGCTGAGATCAAACACCTTGCCTTATCTCATGTCCATCCTGCTTGCAATTTGTCAAGGGCAGAACACCTCCACTATGTGTCATTTACTAGCTTTTAATTGAACAATTGTCTAACCTCCCCCAGTCCATCCAAGTATAACTTCAGTACAGTCCTTGGGACGGCTGGCGAGGGGATAGGCTGGCCATTCCTTGCACAAAGTGCCACTCTGGCGCTAGGTGCATGCACTTTAAACGGCACTTTGACTAAGGCAAGTACAAACATTAGTGCTCCACCCAAGTAGTCTGCAAATGCTCTTTGCTCTCTTACCTCTTTTCCTCAGCCTTCCTTTGTAATTTCTCCTCTCTCCAACATGCTCTTGCTAGCTTTCTTTGTTGCTATAATGCCCTCTCTCCTCAAACTCTCTCTCTTTTACCCCTCCTCCCCACCCCCACAACCTGTACGTAACACCCTCACTTCTGCCCTCTAAATATCATTGCACTAATCTCTTGCTCTCTTTTGGTCCACATAATGTCACCACTACAAAATCACTGCGGCATTTCCCCTGTTACAAATCCTGCTCTCACCTCACCCTATTACTACTAACTTCTGGAGACTTCGCCCCAAACTCTGGCCCTCCACCATCATACTCCAACTCACAGAAGCAGCAGCTTCCTCTCTCTGGCTTCAGCTGCAACCCTCACTCTCTTATCTCAATACCCCTGCTTCCATGCGCCATGCCCTCCCTCCTAAGTGCCCTCTGGAAGGCCCACTCAGTCTCTACAAACCTTCCGCTATCAATGACCTCTTCCTCTCCCGCTCCCTCAACCTACTTGCTATTACTGAAACCTGGCTCCAGGATTCTGACTCTGTCTCCTCAGCTGCACTCTCCCATGGTGGCCTCCTCTGGACTCACTAGCCCAGACCCAGTGGATGAAAAAGGGGCAGAGTCGGACTTCTTCTTATCCCACAAAGCATGTTCCAGGTTCTTCCTGCCCCTCCGTGTCTGTCCCTCTGCTCATTTTGAAGTGCACTGTATTCATTTCTTTTCTCCTGTTTGTTTGAGAATCACCGTCATCTACCGGCCTACGGGTCCAGTTTCACGCTTTCTTGATGACTTTCGGCATGGCTACTGTACTTTCTCTCCTCTGAGGTGCCTGCCATCATCCTCAGTGACTTTATCATCCCAGTCAATGTTAATACCTCAGCCATCTCTCAACTACTCAACCTAACTTCCTCTTTTAACCTAACACAATGGACACAATCCACCACCCACTCTAGCGGCAACACCCTTGACCTTGTATTCTCCCACCTATGCACTCCCTGTACCTCTCTAACACCCATTTTCCTCTCTCTGATCACAACTTTATCAGCTTCACACTCCCCCTGATTCCTACCTACCAACCAGCAAACAGTTGCCTGTAGAAACCTCTTCACTTTGCTACTGAGTGCCTTTATGATAAACTTGCACCCTTGTCCTGCCCGGACCTTGCCACATCTGCCTACAACAACTTACTATCATCCCCCGGACGCACTTACTCCTACATGCAGAACCAGACCTTGCCTGTCACAACCCTGGCAAACAGATGACACCAGAAGTCTCGAGAGACGCAGCTGCACTCTTGAGGGAGAATGG